GTTTTTTTTTTTTTTTTTTTTTTTTTAGGAGGCCTTGCACAATCTTTACTTCGGCAATGAGTGTTGTCTTACAGATGATTTGCTCAAATGACAAATGACAATGTCACTTAAAATAGCAGATCACTGAATTTTGGTTGAATTAGGATTTTTTTTCTTTTGGTTCTTATTTTTAGTGAGCTTTTAAAATGGTATATGCATTTAAAATTTATGGCTAATTTATTTGTATTGTTTGTAGTTTATATTTTGTATTATATTCAGCCTTTTTTGTAATTTATTTAAATTGTAACATTTATTTTCTATAATATATATCGGCTTTTGTTTCATTCCGATTTAGTTTGCCATTTTTGTTTATTTAATACATATGTGTATTGGAACTGATAAACGACCTGACTCGACCATTGATAAGTGGAAGAGAATGGACGGAATCCCAAAGAGACATTGTGGTCATCCATGTCACATAAACGTTTTGTCCCAGCCAGCGGAGGTGGTGGGGGGTCCTCTTACAATCGACTTCATTTTGCCATTACTTGGCCACAGATGTGTCCATAAATCTCATGAAGTTGAAAATTAGATAGTTTGTCTCGAAAGTGCAATGTGTTTTTGGATCAGCTCAGCTCCAATGCCGGTGGCTTGCCAGAAAACTGCGACGTCGTTGCTCTTTTAATTACGCTGCTCCCCGGGGGAGCCGCTCGGGTAGTTAAACAGAGAAATCAGCATTAAAGCAATCATTGGCACGCGGTGAAATGAATGCTGTCATGTGTAATCATTGGATGGGGTTGGGCGGGGCTTTGAAAGCACTCTCACACCAAGGGACAATTTAGAGTGTTCAATCAACCTGCCATGCATATTTTTGGAATGTGGGAGGAAACCGGAGTACCCGGAGAAAACCCATGCAGGCACTGGGAGAACACGCAAACTCCACACGGGAAGACCGGAGCCGGAATCTAACCCTGCACCTCTACACTGTGAAACGGGTGTGCTCACCAGTCAACTACCGTGCCACCCGACTGCTGAGCAACCACTTCCAAATATGGGCAGGTGTACGCCGGATCTGGGAGTCAGTGGGTTATAAGGGTTTATAGAGTTGGGTGGATCTCAGGTTAGCGTTGACCAAACATGTTGCAGTTGTTCACATGGAGCTCACACTTTCCGCTTCCCCATCCCCAGCTGCAAAGTGACCTGGACCAGGAGTACCAAGATAAGTTCCGCCGGCTGCCCGTGGAGATCCAGGAATTCGTCCAGGACAGCAGCAAAGCCAAGCCAGGCGACGCTAACCTCGCCGCTTTCTCCTCCTCCACGGCCGAGCGGCTCAACCACAAAACTTCGCAGTCGGAGGACGACACCGAGGAAGCCTCGCTGGAGCGGGTCTACGACACGCCCCTTTAAAGGTGGACTGCGGTTGTGTTTGTGAACTGGTCTGAAGACTCATTGCGGTGAGTAGCTGTGATCCGGACCCCCCGTGTAAATAGTACTCCTGTTGTATTTGTATTTCACCTGTGTGGTGTTGTCACCGTTTGGATGCGGCCACAGTTTGTGTCACTAACTATTGAAGGAATAACTTACTTGAACTATTGCACATTTTGATTTTCTTTCATGGTGATGTCTGGTCGGCCTTTTCTCCTACCCCTTTTTTTTTTTTTTTTTTTGCACTGAGCGCTCACCTCCCGACATTGTGACAGAAAAGGTTTACCCAGAATCTCTTTTTTTCTATTTTGTTCTCACAGAACGATGCTGCTATTTCCTTTAAATGCCACCGTTTTACCTTTGATCAATGTTTGTGCAATGTTTAATTTGACCAGGATGTGTACAGTTTCTGCATGTACTCAAACTAACTATACATGTGATGGTACCTCTGTAGTGATTGATTTGAAAAGTGGACTGATTTACAAAGATTAAGACAAATATTCAAACATGCAGGATGCTTTTGGGGAAATCACACTTGTACAGTGAAGGCCAAGCTGCATATTTGTAATCCGGCATTTGCAAATTCACCTGTTGCAATTTTGGGGGGCGGGGACCCATCCTCTGCTGTTCTGAAAAAAGTATTTGCTGTTTTTGTGCTCAGGCAAAAGCAATAACAGCCGCCACTGCCTTGGCACCATAAGTGGCATTTTGATTTCAAGAAAATGAGTTTAGGAGCTGAATTTAGACAAAAGTAGTCCAGGATGGCCATTTTGATCAATCTAGTGTAGACAATTACAAATACTTTTTTTTGGGGGGGGGGGTGTCTGACACAGGTTTTCACTTTGGTTACACCAATATCGTAATGGAATGTTTGCTAACCAAGGCACACATTTCATAGTGTTTTCCAATCACTGATCTAATCTACATTTATGGCTACATTTTTATTTTAATTCATTCAGGACTGGAACAGTATTTTATAGATGAAGCAAAATTATCAAGACAATGCCATAGCACAGCCAAACGAAAAAACCTAAAACTAGTAGCAAGGTAAGGAATTGTCGAGATTCCTGTTCCCCTTCACTGATGCCGTTTGTTGCTAGGCAGGATTTGCCTTAGTATTTTTTTTTTTTTTTTTTTTTTTCAAAGATTTTTCCCCTTTTTCTTTTTTAAGTTGGGTAATATTTAAT